GCAAGGAAAAAGATGGAGAGAGAGAGGCTAGAAGACTAAGATAAAGAAACCCACTTAGGTGAAGAGGAATAAAGGTGAAACTGTAAATCATAAAAACAGAACTCAATAAACACCTTAAAAACAGAGAGACAATAAGGGCCAGAGGTATATTTAATAAGAAGAGGAAGCTACAAATTGATTAACGTGCATCAGGTACAAAAGCGAGGGGCGAATGAATAACAGTGGCTCGTGAATCATGGGACAAATCAGGGCACTGAGAGTTAGAAAACAAGCATGAGTAGGGGAAATACAAGAAAAAGTTGCAACACAAATTTTATTTAATATTCTTAATGGCAACAGATCTGATCAAAATTATTTCTTGTTTTGGTGTGTTGTGGCCAGTGTGTTTAAGATGGTTTGTGACTCCGAACCGAAATGATGAGCTATGGGTGCAAAGAAAGTGAGATCATTATTATTATCATGACAGTCTGTATTCAACAAGGGGCACAAAGTAAGAGTGGCAGGGAGGGAAATCTGTAATGAAGCAGAGAACTGAACCGTCAATCAACCCCCTATTCAACTCTCTCTATTGCTTTAAGTAAACTTCTGATAAGGTAGGCTCAGACAGTCAGAGACCTGAACCAATTTCACATCACCAACTGCCACCAAGCAATGCAGCTCAAAATTAGGAAATCTTTTGTGGAAAAAAAATGTTTTTGCAGTCCTCTTAATTGTAATAAGAACAAGAGAGCATAGTACAACACTTGAAAACTGTGGCAATTTGGAAGAGAAATGGAGAGAGAGACAGAGAGAGAGAGAGAGAGGCAGTATTATTAAACGAACCATTTTGGCTACAGAGACATAAACATTAGGGCTGTACAAAACTTCAGTCCCTGATTCTATTTGGCGGAGATTTGGCCCTCTTCGGTAGCCGTATCTCGAAATCCAAATTGAATCAAGAGACCCATTAATTTCTCTGAATCGATTCAGAACCCTCCAAACTGATTTGGAGAGATTCAGAAAGATTCGACAATTTGGACACAGACGCAGCTTTAAATGTTTTTTCTACATACCTCAAGGTACCAGGTGGCTCATGAATGCTGAGATGCTGGGGCTGATGGAGCATCCCACAGGAGCACAGGGGGGCTCCCCAGAGCACTCAACAGCAGACCTGGAAGTAGACCAGAAGCACTTCTGGTCCACTTCTGGGTCCACTGGGAAGCATGCAGGGGGGCCCCCCCTGAGCCCACCTGACTTAGCGACTGGTGCCTCCGGGGTCTGAGGGGCACCTGAGGTTCCCCTGTGGCCGATCACCGAGCCAGGGGAACATGTGGGGGGTGGGCAGTGCGCTCGGCGGTGGACCCGGAAGTGGCTTGTGAATGCTGCGATGTTGGGGTGGATGCAGTGTCTCACAGGAGTGCAGGGGGGTGGGGGGGCCCACGCGTGCTCAATAGCAGACCCGGAAGTGGACCGAAAGTACTTCTGGTCCACTTCTGGGTCTGCCATTGAGCATGTGGGGAGCCCTCTCCCGCACTCCTGTGGGACACTCCATCCACCCCAGCATCACAGCATTCACAAGCCACGCCTGGTACCTTGAAGTATGTAGAAAAAACATTTAAAAGCTGTGTCTACAGCTGAATCGCTGATTCTTCCAATCAGCATAGAATCGGGGACGGTGATCCAAATCAACAAATTGAATCACTGTCCCTGATTCAGGCCAAATCCAAATCAAATACAGCCTGTTTCACAGCCCCCTAATAAACATGCATACGCTTTCAAAAAAAAAAATTCCTACAGATTTGTGTACTGCAGGGACTTGGTTTTTCCTTGCGTAAGTCCAAGATGATGGTTTTAATTAGTGTGCAACTGAACTTCTATGATGTGGAGTTGTGATGCAACATTTCTAAGGAGCTATGAATCGTGGAGCAAAGGGAAGACAGAAAAAAGTTTAGGAAAGAATGAATCCTTTCCTTGTGGGTCCTTTTCCAAATACAGTGCAATTTAAATATAATCTAAATTATTACAGGAGAGAATTTTGAAAGCAGGGTTTGTTTGGGTTTTTTGTTTTAAATAAGAGGCAAAGCAAGGAAAAAGAAGCATTTAGGGAGGAAGTATGATTTTATCTACTGCAAGGCTTACTTCAGGGGTTTCTTTTCTTTCCTATAAATATATAATTTAATTAGTCTATAACGTACAAATCCACCCTGCCTTATTTAGTATGTGTGTGTATATCATTTTTTCACATCCATTTACATCCATTAAAGTTACATACTGCTCTGTATCACAAAACATCTGCAGCATCTTGTGGTGTCAGTTTGTGTGAATGGTACAACACAGCAGTTCTGTAGACTAGCCTCCACTCATAATGTGACCAGGTACTCGGGGCTTGTCTATTTAGCTTTGTGCCATCCCCAAATCCCAGGAACATGTTGTAGCTGCCTTAGAGTGGCCCTGAGCATGCAGGAAAAACACACGAGACTAAAAGTGCCTTTGGTGCATTGCCTCATGTTCAAGAGTTCGCATGTAGAGCAGGACAGGGCGTGTTTCAGATAGTGCCCCAGGCTGTAGCAGGGATCCAGACTAGACAGGTCTGCTCTTAAACAGGAATCTCCCTCACTTCAGGAGAACCACTTGGGTGAAAAAACTATTCAGCAGTGTAGGGGGACTGTAATTTAGCATTTAGAAACTAAGCAGTGATTCTCTCTCCTCTTGAAAAAGGCCTGTCTCTTCAGGCACACAGCTCTCATCTTCAAACTGCAGTGCCCCTCTTGAAATCATTGACAGACATTTCTCTATGGAAGTTCAGAGCTCTCTAGTCAGGCAAAACAGAGATGGAAGTACAAATGACCAACTTCATTCTGCCCCCATTTTCACCTCTGCAACTCCAATGAAATTGGAAGGAAAAGGAGCAGACTTTGGCCCAAATGCTGCATACTAAAAGCACATCAACATGTTTGCTGAAAGAGAGGGCTGAGACGCAATGAGCTACACCTACTCGAATTTAAACCTTTATGTTTCCTTGAGAATAGTTAATAATAACAAATGCTCAGTGATAAAGTTGATCATAAACTAGAGGCATGCTAGAGTTCTCTCAATGATAAAGGAAGCATTTCTCACATACAGACATAGCAGAGCTGCATTTATTTTACATTCTTCATCCTATTCCAAAGAAGTACTAATTATATTACCTTTTGTCCCATTGTGCAGTGCTATGTATGTCACAGACAATGAATATGTACATCAGATGCTGAGGAGGAGCAATTTCCTTTGGTTGTTTTACAAGTGAGGGATTAAGCCACAATTATGCAACATATTTGAAAAAAAAGGATAATACTGAATGTAATCATACATCAAAGACGAGGCCTTGACAAGGTTGATGTGTTCACAAGTAAAATGTTTTCAGTTAAGCCTACAGCTGTTCTGATTTTCAGGTTTTGAGCCATCACAAAATCTCAGGCTACATGATTGCTATGATCCTTGCTAAGCAACACAGGCAGAGAGATTCATAGAGGTTAGGAACTGGAAGGGACCTCTTGAGATCATCAGGTCCAGCTCCCCTGCACTTAGGCAGGAAAGATTGCTGGGGTCAAATAACCCCAGCAAAGTGCATGTCCAGTCATTTTTGGAAGATCTCCAGGGTAGGTGATTGTACCACCTCTGGGGGGGAGTCTGTTCCAGACCCTGGACACTCAATGATTCTGCATGGGAAAATACAAGCAACTCATAGTTTCTGTATGAAACCAGTTGAAACCCTGTGACTTCAACCACAAGAATAAATGTTTTAATTTGCCTGTAACTCACACTTGAAATATTTTAGGTGAAACTCAAACTTCTCACTCATTCCTAAATAAGTTACACAACTTTTAGGCAATTACTTATGGTACCAGTATTAGGGGCTGGACACTTAGCAAAAAAAGATTTGCCTTTTCTTGAATGAAAAAGAAAACAGACTTAAAATTACATGGGTAAGTGGCCATGTAGCTATGATGTCCCAGCTAAAAGAAAATGCATTCATATAATTTTGAAATTCCTATTTCTTCAGCGCTTCGGAAAGATTCAAAAGAGTGACACAACCAGGGGGAAGGGAGGGGCAAAGGGGTGCAATTAGGAGGTGGGGTGAGCCATTACATAGGCTGATCAATGTGGTTATAACAGGAAAGGATGAAACAAGAGTAGAAGTGCTGTATGGTTGGCAATCAGGACCAGCTGGGTAGTTGCAGCGTCAAATGGCACAAAAGCAAGTAGCCAGTAAGCTGAAAGGAGTAGTAGGGAAGTTACAGGTTCGTAGTAGAGGGAAGCAGACAGGAGGGCTGCATACAAGGACTGCCATCTGAAACAACACAATGGCTGCCAGTTGGCAGGGTTGTTAGGGAGAAGCTTGTACAATGTGCTTCTGGCTGCTTAGAGAGGATCTGTGTGCCAGCCAATGGCGCTGCCAAGGAAGCAAAGGAAGACAATGTGTGGGCTGGAGAGAAGTTAAATGTGAGCCAGGTAGGTACAGCTAGCCAGCTTTGTCAAATCAACATTTCTCCAGTAGTGCTAAAACCCTTTAGGTGAACAATGATTCCAACATGACCCAGCAGCAGTGCATTTCACCGGGAAGGAGTTGCACTGAGGATCTCTGCAGCGACAGGCATCTGCCTAAGAATGTCTGACTGCAGGATTGGGGCCAGAAATTATGTGAATGCATTAGGCAATAATTATTTGAGTCCAGAATCTATTAGCATTTATTCAAGCCATTTTGCAATGTTTCAGTTACAAAGAATCGTGCACACTGATCACAGTCAGTCTGGTGTTTTCATACATCAATCACCATGGCATAAGAACCAAAAGGGGACCAAAGGCTTTCAATTAATAAATGTGGTTATAGTGTATGTTTCAATCTTACTGATGAATAAAAAGGTTCCACAGGCTAGAAGACTGGTATATAAAAACATCACAATGTACATTCAGCAATAATTTGGATCAACTTTAATCCATGCAGCCTTATGGCAGATCAGCGAAAAGCATAAAAGTCATACCTGCTTTGTAGATCATTAAGGTGCAATTCGCCTACATAATGAACAGCTGATGAAACAGAGATGACTCTAGCATTGAGACTGTGTGTTCCTGATTGCTTCAGCATATCCAAGAGGAGGTTAGTCAATAGGAAGTGTCCCAAGTAGTTCACACCAAAGTGCTCCTCAAACCCATCCTCTGTTTTCCTTTCAGGGACCAGCATCACCCCAGCTGAAAGAGAGAGGCAGAACTTGGCTAGATAGTAGATGCATCTTTCCTGGCATCCTCTCCTCAAGTTTTAAAAGCAGTCCACAGTCAGGATAAAAGCCTTAACAGTTTGGCTAGGGGGTGAGAAGGAAGCTGGAATAAATCTGTCCCATAAATACTATCAAGACTGATTTTACATACATTTATGTGTAAGTGCATTTTTTATACATTTACAAGTATATGTATACACATACATGAGACTCACTTACATTTAAAAATAGTGGATAGAGATGGTCCTAAGCAGCGTGTATGTTGATTATTAAATATGTAATTCTGTACATCTAAAGTTAGCTACTTAACTCCATATTTAGACCTCTAAATAAAAGTGGCTCATAATATACCTACCCTTCACACTGCAGTGTTGCATAGACATACCTGAACAAGCTTTGAATAAGCCAGCTTAGGTACCAGAAACATACTCAGTCATGGCTTGAAGGATATCTGGGCAAAATAATTGCTCTGTTTCACTGAAAATGTAATTGCCAAACAAATGCTATTAGGCTACAGGATGCCTGAAATGAATTATTCCTAGAGAATCATGGGCTTAACTGTGGCCCACCTGATAAAGCTCACATCCAAGTTCAAGTCTCAGCTGGCAATGAGTCCCTAAGAGCAGTGGAGTTCAGGCAGGAAGAATGGGAGGAGGAGAGGGAGAAGTGACATCCTGTCAGTGGCTGATGATTTCATTTACAGGATTGCAGACAACAGCTTAAATACCTAAGGGTGCCTATACATGTGCAGCGGAGCTCCTCTGATGTGCTGTAATTACAGTGCTACAGAAGACTCGATTAATCGAGTCTGCTGGAGCGTAGTAATTACCACACTCCAGCAGACTCCAGCATCACATATCAGAGTTCCTCCCTCTCTCCCCCACTCTTGGAGTACATCTATAAATGCCTTAAGGGTGGGATTACATGTTGCAATTAGCTTAGTTCTTGCTAAGAGTGCTTAAAATTTGAACAATTGTATGTTCCAGCTTGTTAAATAATGCTAAGTACCCTTTAGGCATCTTATGGTTATTAGGGTTACTGTATTTCCAGTTCCAAAAAAGAAGACACCTGTTATGCAGGGGTGGGGGGTGGGGAGGAGGTATATGACTGTGGGGGGCAGAGATATGCTGGTGCCCTGCCCCTGTCTGTTCCATTGCCCCTCACTCCCAAGCCACAACCCCCACTCCCTCCCAGCCCTGCTGCTGCCTCTTGTTCCTGACCCGCAGACCACTGGCCTTCTGGTGCCCCTCACTCCCAACCTGCAGTACCCTACCTCCTTGGGCCATGCTGGTGCCCCTCACTCCGAGCCTGCAGCCTCCTGCTTCCTCCAGCCATGCAGCATCTCCCAGCCACCCTGCCCCTGCAAGCAAGGGCACTGGCCCCAGTGCCACCAGCCCAGCCACGTAGTTCCCTGCTTTCCCTGAAGGGCCCTGATGTCCCCGTCTTTCACTGGAGGCACAGGCACCTCCCCTGCCCTGCTGCAGCCCCAGCGCCCAGAAAGCTTCCTCCACTGCTGGCAGGTACCCGCCCCCTCAGACACACCCTGCCACGCAGACATATGCGCACACACATGCACATGCACACATACGCGAGGCTCCCCCCCCAGCCCTACAGAGAAGCCTCAAGCCCTGACTCTCCAACTCTAGCCCTCCACAGACATTTGCATCCAGCTGCCAGGGCTGTTCCCACCACCCTGCCTGGCTGTATGCTGGCCACGTGCATGTGTGCCCTGCTTTCAATCACCCTTCCCTGACTTTTTCCCAGCTCCAGGAAGCTCTTTGCTAGGGCAAATAAGAAAGAACTTTGAAGCTGAGCTGACCAAAATCCAAAACATTTGATCATATTTAAAAAAAAATACGCTCAGATGCAGATCAGAGGATCCAAAAGGAGGACGTGTCTGGGAAAACCCGGACGTATGATAACCCTAGTCAAGACGTTGCAAACACCTGCATTGGACTAAGGAGCCCTGGCATTGGCAGCGGCTGCATGCACGCCTAAGGGCACATGGTAGGGAAGAGGCCAGGGAAGCGCAACTTTGGCTTCTCTCCCGCTGCACATGCAGCTGCCTCCAGCAGAGTCCGGCCAGGGCTCAGCCGATCTCGTTCCAGCTGTTTGCAGCCTCCCTGCTGCCTGTTGTGAGCAGCCCAGATTCCATGATGGGTGTCAGACGCCTGCCCAAAGCCCAGACCAGCTGTGGCAGGAAGCTGGGAGGCTGCAAGCTGTTGCACGGAGGTCTGCAGAGCCTCTGCCCTGCTTGTTGGCAGGGGAGGGGCCAGGGTTGCAGTGCCCCAGTCCCTTCCCCATGATGTGCACTGAGGCATGCACACAGCCACCACTGGCCTTGGAACAAGGCTGGGGCTCTGGACCCCAGTGCAGCTGTTTACAACCTGTGTGCTGCCTACTATGAGCCCAGGCTCTATGGCCAGCAGCAGCTGCATATGCATGTGGTAGGGGAAGGGGTGGGGAAGGGGGTGGGGCAGTCCAACCCCAGCCTCTACCCTACCACCCCACGCCTGTGTCACAGGTGTCACAGTGAAGCCCTGTCATCATGTCCTCCCCCCGTGGGGCAAGTGTGATGGGGCAGGAGGAGCCCTGCTCCCCACAGCTGGGAGGGAGGTATGGCAAGGGGCTGGGGGCAGGTTGGGTGAGCAGCCACCATCCAAGCCAGGTAGCAAAAGCAAGTATCTTGCCTGCATCTGGCATGCACAGGAAGGGTGGTAAAGCACAGGCAGAGCAAAATACTGGACATTTGATGACATTTGAAAAAACTGCCTGGATAGAGATGGGAGGACCCAAAAAGAGGATGTGTCTGGGAAAACCCAGACAATTGGTAACCCTAATGGTTATGCCACTTCTGGGGAGGATTATCATTGATTGGTGTTAGTTATCTAAGTTTAAGCTTGCTTCTGAGCACTCCACTGATGGAAAACAACCAATTTGGAGTCCTCCAAAATCCCAGGACATACCCTTCCCAGCCTTTCCCATTATCTTGCTCCAAGAACAAGCTTTCTACCCTCCTGAGCTCTACAGCAGCTGGCAAGCCCCAGGAAGGAGCTGCGGAGGCCTGGGGAGGCTCCTCAGCAACCCACCCACATCCAGCAGCCTCCACCACATGCCTGCCTACTGCTTCCCTAAAAAACGGCAGCCACCCAGTTGGAAGACACTGTCCCTTTATACTTGAAGGAGCAGCTGGGAAGATAGCAGGAAGGGAGGTGCTACTGGCCCTGGCCATGGCTTGAGCTTCGTTCCCTGGGAAGGAGGAAAGGCGGGTGTCAGCCAATAAGCAATGTGGGGTCACAGGTCTCCAGGTACAGTGCCCTCAGGGCCCGCATCTCTTACTATCCACAATGTATTGAAACCAGTGAAAGTCTAGAACCTTTACTTTTTGCTCTTTTAACTTTAATCAAATACAAATGATTGAAAAAAAACTAACTTTTATATAAACCCACCATGTCCATGTTTTTTCTACCTCCAGGCACACTGCTCCCCATTTTTGTCCCCCTTCCTCTCCCCCAAGCAGGGAGATCCCAGGTATGGGCTCAAACATGCCCCTACTCACCAGTGCCCTAATGGCAAGTCTGAGCAGTGCACATTAGAGAGGGTATTAACTCTTACTGCAATACTAATAATTAGCTTATGATAACCTTAACACTAACTACCATTCCTTACAAGCTCAAACCTAAGAAGGAAGGGAGCTGATTGTAGAGGGATTTGCACTTCCCCATTAAAATAAATGTGAAATTCAGAAGGAGCACCTCTAATTCAATCAGAAGTTAGGATGGATTCATGTTCAGCTCATAGCAGACAAACAGCCTCTTTTGGGCTAAGGGAATATTTCCTTGGCACAGGCATCATGGTGGACTGCTTTGGGAAACCTTTTGTTGGTATCCTTGCAAGCTGACACCTGGGAGGAACAACTGTGGCAGGAGACAGTACTTCTGTCAAGTTGCTACTGCCATTCCAGCTTGATAATAAACTCTAAGCTGGTAGATCTCAACCTATTTTAAACTCAGGGTACCCTCAGTAGACTTGGAAAATGCCAGCTCTTAGTCTTTTTAACTACAGAAAAGTAATAAAACAATTCTGCTGCTGCAAAGAACTCAGAAAGACCACAACAGGCCAGAATGTTTAACACTGAATTCCTTTCTGAAAACTCTGGTTTACCTTGTGAATCATATTTGCACACCTAACAGTGCCAACATTGTGTGACACCCCCCAACACCCTTGAAGGGATCTCAAGGAACCCTGGTTAAGAATCACAGTCCTAAGCAACTGTGGAGAGGTCTACGTCAGGTTCTGAGATCCCTGCATTATAGCAGGTGTCCTTTTGAGTACTGACATGCAGCCAAATGCCTAGGGCACAGGGACAGTGGGGACTTCTGGTTACTGCTGCAATCACACAGCTTCCAGCAGCAGCTGCTTTTAATTCTATTTTATTTTATTTTGACTCTTTCCTCTCTCCTTCACTTCCAAGTCACTCCCCCGGGTTGCTTGCCCCATTCATCCTACCCTAGTTATGCCATTGCTTTTAACCTCTGGGGATACAACAGTTTAAAGACTGAAAAGGGACCTTAACCACCTATGCCCTTAACTTCAGCAACTATGATCCACTACTTCTAGGAGAACCAACCATGTGCCTTGCTCCCCCCCCATGTAGAGAAAGAGAGTATGTCATCATTCAGGGCATCATTTCTAAATTCTGCAGCCAATAGAATTCTCTTGACCAGACTCCAAGAAATCTTACTGTCCAAGGACCTAGTTTAATCCCAGAGCAAAGCACAATCATTACTGCCAGGATTTCTTCTCCCTATCATTTTTGTCCTGAAGAGGTAGTCAAATGGTATTAATCCAAAAACATATTTGAGAAACTGAGATATCCTTCAGAGGAAGTTCACATCACATCAAGGCAAATAAAAGAAATCCTGAAATCTGAGGGTACTGTTCTGTTTGCTGAAGAACAACCATTCTAGCCAT